GCCTAGAGGGGTTCTCTATGTTTTTGAATCTAATTACCCTGTAAGATATCTACCATCCTGATTTTACAGGGGGGATTTCTTTATTTCTATTTACTTCTATTTTTTATTAAAAGTCTTCTTGTAAAAAACTGAATGCTTTTTCATTGTTCTCAGATCCAAGGGTTTGGGTCTGTGGTCACCTATGCAAATTGGTGAGGCTTTTTATCCAACATTTCCCAGGAAAGGGGGGGTGCAAGTGTTGGGAGGATTGTTCATTGTTCTTAAGATCCAAGGGTCTGGGTCTGTAGTCACCTAGGCAAATTGGTGAGGCTTTTTACCAAACCTTGTCCAGGAAGTGGGGTGCAAGGTTTTGGGAAGTATTTTGGGGGGAAAGACGCGTCCAAACAGCTCTTCCCCAGTAACCAGTATTAGTTTGGTGGTGGTAGCGGCCAGTCCAAGGATAACGGGTGTAATATTTTGTACCTTGGGGAAGTTTTGACCTAAGCTGGTAAAGATAAGCTTAGGAGGTTTTTCATGCAGGTCCCCACATCTGTACCCTAGAGTTCAGAGTGGGGGAGGAGCCTTGACAACTACAAATGGTTTTCTCTCCCCCCACCCCACTCTCCTGCTAGTAATGGCCATGTAGACTCCCTCCTCAGGCCGTTTGCTAACAGCACTCCCAGCCACCTTCGAGACACCACTGACTTCCTGAGGAAACTACAAATCCATCGGTGATCTTCCTGATAACACGATCCTGGCCACTATGGATGTAGAAGCCCTCTACACCAACATTCCACACAAAGATGGACTACAAGCCATCAAGAACACTATCCCCGATAATGTCACGGCTAACCTGGTGGCTGAACTTTGTGACTTTGTCCTTACCCATAACTATTTTACATTTGGGGACAATGTATACCTTCAAATCAGCGGCACTGCTATGGGTACCCGCATGGCCCCACAGTATGCCAACATTTTTATGGCTGATTTAGAACAACGCTTCCTCAGCTCTTGTCCCCTAACACACCTACTCTACTTGCGCTATATTGATGACATCATCATCTGGACCCATGGAAAAGAAGCCCTTGAGGAATTCCACCATGATTTCAACAATTTCCATCCCACCATCAACCTCAGCCTGGACCAGTCCACACAAGAGATCCACTTCCTGGACACTACAGTGCTAATAAACGACGGTTACATAAACACCACCCTAACCGGAAACCTACTGACCGCTATTCCTACCTACATGCCTCCAGCTTTCACCCTGACCACACCACACGATCCATTGTCTACAGCCAGGCTCTGCGATACAACCGCATTTGCTCCAACCCCTCAGACAGAGACAAACACCTACAAGATCTCTGTCAAGCTTTCTTACAACTACAATACCCACCTGCAGAAGTGAAGAAACAGACTGATAGAGCCAGAAGAGTTCCCAGAAGTCACCTACTACTGGACAGGCCTAACAAAGAAAATAACAGAATGCCACTAGCCGTCACCTTCAGCCCCCAACTAAAACCCCTCCAACGCATTATTAAGGATCTACAACCTATCCTGAAGGATGACCAAACACTCTCACAAACCTTGGGAGACAGGCCAGTCCTTGCCTACAGACAGCCCCCCAACCTGAAGCAAATACTCACCAGCAACCACATACCACACAACAGAACCACTAATCCAGGAACCTATCCTTGCAACAAAGCCCGTTGCCAACTGTGCCCACATATCTATTCAGGGGACACCATCATAGGGCCTAACAACATCAGCCACACTATCAGAGGCTCATTCACCTGCACATCCACCAATGTGATATATGCCATCATGTGCCAGCAATGCCCCTCTGCCATGTACATTGGTCAAACTGGACAGTCTCTACGTAAAAGAATAAATGGACACAAATCAGATGCCAAGAATTATAACATTCATAAACCAGTCGGAGAACACTTCAATCTCTCTGGTCACACGATTACAGACATGAAAGTTGCGATATTACAACAGAAAAACTTCAAAACCAGACTCCAGCGAGAGACTGTTGAATTGGAATTCATTTGCAAATTGGATACAATTAACTTAGGCTTGAATAGAGACTGGGAGTGGCTAAGTCATTTTGCAAGGTAACCTATTTCCCTTTGTTTTTTCCTACCCCCTCAGACGTTCTTATTAAACCCTGGATTTGTGCTGGAAATGGCCCACCTTGATTATCATACACATTGTAAGGAGAGTGATCACTTTAGATAAGCTATTACCAGCAGGAGAGTGGGGGTGGGGGGAGAGAAAACCATTTGTAGTGGTAAACACCCATTTTTTCATGCTTTGTGTGTATAAAAGATCTTCTATACTTTCCACAGTATGCATCCGATGAAGTGAGCTGTAGCTCATGAAAGCTTATGCTCAAATAAATTGGTTAGTCTCTAAGGTGCCACAAGCTCATCTTAAGTGATCACTCTCCTTACAATGTGTATGATAACACCTATTTTTTCATGTTCTGTGTGTATATAAATCTCCTCACTGTATTTTCCACTGAATGCATCTGATGAAGTGAGCTGTAGCTCACGAAAGCTTATGCTCAAATAAATTGGTTAGTCTCTAAGGTGCCACTAGTACTCCTTTTCTTTTTACTTTTCCCATGGGGCTGAAACCTAACTTTTCACCACTGTGAATCTATTTTCCTCCCTTCCCTGCATCCACTTCTCTTGCGTTACTCCTCCCTCCTAATGGGGCCTGATTAAGGTGCACAAGTGACTTAGCTACAACACACACAAAACTAATCATCGCTGCATGCAAAAGTATTTGTGAAACCAATCACATTGGTGACACTGCTCTCCTATGCCAGTTGTTTGCCTCAGTTCACCAATAAACTTGTGTACGCATTTAACTTGCCTGTTAACTGACATCACACAGAAAGAGCAGAAAAATGTGAGGGATTGTTTCATATTCACAGAATGGTAGTACATAAAGCTGAATATGAAACATACATGGACAGACACCAAAGAAAAACCCCCAACTATACAAACAGTTAGCACACAGCAAGCTAGGCTGTAATTCTACCTTGCACTAGCCCGTCACAGGCTAACTGTCCGTGTGGACCCTGTGGCCATGCAGTAAAAGTTCCCTAGCACACTTTGATATGCTCTACTTTGAAATGGAAGTAGCTCAAAGTGCACTACAGAAAGTGAAGTGCAGGGCAGCAGGGTCCACATGGAAGGTTAATGCACAGCAGACTAGTGCAAAGTAGATTTACATCTGAGCTTGCCCTGTACTAACAGTTGATATAGATGTGCCCCCAGCCTCAACTCCCATTAGAAGACAATGCTTGATGTACTACACTAACCTCTAATACTGCAATGAGGGTTTTATCAGATTTGCACTTTGGCACAGATCCTTCAGAGGAAAAAAAGGATGCTCTTACACTTTAGGCAGTGGCATAGATCATGGGAAAGCTGGGTTTATTCCTGACTCTGCCACAGACTTCCTTTAGGGCATGGGACTGACAATCTCCCAATTCCCCATGCATAAAATGAGATAATACTTCCCTACCTCATAAGTGTATTGTGAGGCTAAAGTCTTTGGTTGAGATCTTCAAGCCCTTTAGGCTGAACAAAAGGACCAGAGCAGCATAAAGGGGCCTCAAAAGTCCCAGTTCCACCTGAGGTTTCCTTTAGTACAGCCAAGACAGTAGACAGCTGAGAGTCCTGATGCAGGAAGCACACTGGGAGCAGGAGGGATATGTCAAGAGTGAGGCCATAACACTGCAGTCTACAGGGCAACTGGGGGGGGAGGGAGGCTGCCATAATTCAGAGGCCCCAGGACTGTGTATGGTATGCTGGGAGCCTCTCCAACTCCTGGATCAAGAAGGCAAAAATGCCTTAAAGTCCCCCCTCCCCTGCACTGCGCTGCATAAGAGATGCAGCACAGAATCTTGCCCGTGGTATTCGTAAAGTTCTTGTGTAATCCAAGGTTTTTCTCTTCACCGAAGCTGTCTGCATGGGAAATTAAGCCAAATTAATTAACCACATGAATTTAACACATATTAGTTAAAACATATTAATCCTTGTGTGGATAAGATCATTTGGAAGTAAAGTGGCCTTAAGTTTGCTTTAGCTTTGAGTTAAACTACAGCAAAGATTTTTGTTTTGTTTTGCAGTGAGGAGCTTTTGAATACATTCGAAAGGCTAAGCACCAGGTATGAACAATGAGAGGTGGAGAGTGCACAACAGGAGGAAGAAAAGGTATCACAGAGATGAGAATTGGTCTGTGTAGGTAAAGTGGCTAACAAGTGTTGACAGGCACAGTGTACAAGTCAAAGAATACACTAAAAGAAGAAAAGTCACAGCTTCTATGCGGTCCAGTCACTGCTTAGTGTACATTTCTGTTCAGTTCAACTTTATTAACAAAACGGATACAACAGCGATAGTCAGTTTCTACATTAGCTTTCCTTCCGCAAAGGGGGGGGGGGGGGGGGAGGGTTTCCCCCAGTGCGAAGCCACTGCTGCCGCCTTGTTCACTTTACACCACCGCCACCCAGGAGCGTGCCAGACACGGGACCGCTGTTCCTGAAGCCCCGAGGAGAGGAACCCGGCACTTCCTCCCCCAACGCTGCAGAAAAGGGCGGGACCCAGCTGAGGGCGCTGCCGCTGCCGCTTTACAGTCTCGGGAGACGCTTTAAGGCCGCAAAGGCCCCGCCGACGCTGGCCGCATGAGACAACAGCCACGAGCGGGGCAGCCAGCAAATGTGCCCCGAAGGGCAGCGCGCTCCCCGCGGCTGGGCCGCGCTCCGTGAGCCTGCGCCCGCAGCGCGACTCCGGCCTCGCCTCGCTCCCGTCCCGGAACTGGGCCCCGCCCGCCAGCGCTAGTGCCCCCGGCGGACAGGGACGCCTCGGCCCGGGGTGGCTGCAAGGCCGGCGCTTGGCCCCGCCACACCCTGCCCTGTCGCGGCAGCCCCGCAGCGGGAGCGGCCCAGAGCAGCGCGGGGCGTCCCTGCCCCAGCGGGGTCACGACACCCGGGCGCCCCCCGTTACCTGGCCCGCGTGGTTTTCCCGGAGCCGGGCAGGCCGCGCAGCAGGTAGAGGCGTTTGCTGAAGCGGCGCCTGCGGGGCTGCGCCCGGGCCGGGGGCTGCAGACTCAGGCCCCCGAAGGCGCGGACCAGGCTCCCCTCCATGGGCGCGCGGCGGGCCGGTCCCGGCCGCAAACAGCGGCCCGTCAGCTGCTGCGAGCGGCTTGGCCTCCACTGAGCATGCGCGCTAACAGCCCAGCCGGGCATGGCCACGTGCTCCGGGGCGCGCGGGGATGAACAGGGCGGGGCCCAGGGGCCAGCTTCCGGGCGCGCGGGAGGAGTGGTGGGGTTGAGACCGTGCGCGAGGCGCTGCCAGCCGCGCGGGTGGGGGGGGGGGCGGAGCTAACCGTTACCCCAGGTGCGCTCAGACGGCTGCAGCGCCTGCAAAAAAAAAGGGGGAAAGAGGGGGCGCGGCTCGTAGCATCGGGGCCCTCCCAGTGCTGTGCCCGTCAAGGCACCGTGCGAGAGCCCAGTGTCTGACCACGGCCCCGCCTGATCTGCTGTAGTGAGTCGCTAAAGGAGCGGCGATCCTGTGACATCTGTTTCAGACCCGCCCCCACCAAAACCAGTTGCGATGGTCAATGTTTGACAGTTTAGCACGTGACAAAATTTGCCTTCGCGGCTGGCCTGGTTGCCTGAAGGGGGCGGCCTTTCCCTTGCCAGCCATGTAAATGGATTTTTTTTTCTACACAAGTTTATTTTTGGACTCATATGATTCCAGGCTGACTGATTTCCTGGGTTGATGGCAAAACTTAGGGTTTCTTTAATCGACCAAAGGGGATTGTACCTTTGGCAGCTGTTATTTTGGCTTTATCCAGCATCCTTGTCCTTTTTCAGGTTCCCCACTTGTGTGTAAAATATGGATCACTACAGATCTAATGTTTGATTATCTGGGTACATTGCGGTAAATATGAACAAGAAAAGGTTAAGTATTTGTGGCACAAGGAACAGGGAGGAGAGACGGATGAAGACTTGCTCCATTTAGTATCATAAGGAGGCAAGGGATGAAAACAATTAGTAACAGGGAATAGGAGAAAACAGAAGTATAAAGGATAAATCATCTAACTTGCCACAAACACAAGACTTATAAAGGGACACCAGCAGTGAAGACACATATTCCGCTCTGCAAATGCATTGTTACCATCAAACCATTACCTTCTAATGCATATAGCAAATATTTCTGCGTTCCAGTAATGAACTGGATCCAGGAGTCTAAAGTTTACAGTTTATATAGACAACAGATCCCTCCCCTTCCTTTGGTTTGTAAACACAGAAATCAGTCAATGTGGAAATCTTTTTGGTATTTTTGCTTCAGACCCAACATTCGGAAAAACAATCTCCTTTATTTTCAGTCTCTCTGTGCCATAGAAGGATGAGTAAAAGAAGCATGGATATCAAGTGACTTCTGAAAGTGGCCATTTGACAATCAAAAATTATTACAGTTTTTTTATTTCAAAACCAGAATGGGTGGCTATGTGGATATAAGCCTAAGGATTACTGAGGGTCTTGGATTCAGCACCAAATTCTACAGTGAATACTTCTCCCAGGTTCTTCCTTACATTTATAACACTTGATTGTAAACTGAGGTCCTTCCATGATGGTGCCACGCTTGACAAATTTCTGTAATATAAAAGAAGAGAGCCTGCTGAAGCATCATAATAACCAATAACCAATGCAGATTTTAAAAATACTAACTGTTGTAAACATTGTTTCAATATTGCCACATCCCATCTTATGACTAAAGGAGAGTATTAGAGGATAATTGTTCACCTCCAGTCCCTGATAAAGGGATCTATTTCCTTCTCAGTTTTAGCAGTTTGATTTTCATTCCTCCTTTTGAAGGAGGTACAAAGAGGGATTTTGAAGGCTTAGCCCTGGTCTACGCTACGGGGTAGGTCGAATTTAGCCACATTAGGTCGATTTTAAAATGAACGCATCTACACAACCAACCCCATTCCGTCGACCTAAAGGGCTCTTAAAATCGACTTCTGTACTCCTCCCCTGCAAGGGGAGTAGCACTAAAATCAACCTTGCTGGATCGCATTTGGGGTAGTGCAGATGCAATTAGACAGTATTGGCCTCCGGGAGCTATCCCAGAGTGCTCCAATGTGACCGCTCTGGACAGCACTTTTAACTCCGATGCACTAGCCAGGTACACAGTAAAAGCCCAGGGAAATTTTGAATTTCATTTCCTGTTTGGTCAGCGGGGTGAGCTCAGCAGCACAGGTGACCATGCAGTCCGCCCAGAATCGCAAATGAGCTCTAGCATGGACCGAAAGGGAGACACTGGATCTGATTGCTGTATGGGGAGAAGAATCTGTGCAGGCTGAACTCCGATCAAAAAGAAGAAATGCTAATATATATGCCAAAATCGTACAGGGCATGGTGAAGAGAGGCTACATCAGGGACACACAGCAGTGCCGTGTGAAAGTTAAGCTCAGGCAAACCTACCAAAAGACAAAGGAGGCAAACGGTCGCTCTGGGTCAGAGCCCCATAGATGCCGCTTCTATAATCAGCTGCATGGCTTTATAGGCGGGGACCCTACCACTATCCCACCACTGTCTGTGGACACCTGCAAGGGGGGACTCTCACGCAACAAGGAGGATTTTGCAGATGAGAAAGACGAGGAGGAGGAGATGAATGCGCAGCAGGCAAACAGTGAATCAGTTCTCCCCAACAGCCAGGACCTTTTCATCACCCTGGAGCCAATACCCTCCCAAGTTGGGATCCCTGACCCTGAAGCTGGAGAAGGCATCTCTGGTGAGTGCACATTTGTAACTACAGTACAGGGTTTAAAAGCAATAGTGTTTAATGTTTGATTTGCCCTGAAGAATTGGGATGCATCTGCGGCCAGTACAGCCACTGGAAAAGTCTGTTAACGTGTCTGGGGATGGAGTGAGAATCTTCCAGGGACATCTCCATGAAGCTCTCGTGGAGGTACTCTGAAAGCCTCTGCCTTATTTTGTCCTCCACGGTAGGACACTTTACCACGCCAAGCCAGTAGCAAGTAGTCTGGAATCATTGCAGGACAAAACATGGCAGCGAATGGTCCTGCGTTTTGGTCGCATTCAAGCAACATTCGGTCTTTATCTTTCTGTGTTAGCCTCAGGAGAGTGATATCATTCACGGTCACCTGGTTTAAATAGGGGAATTTTTATAAAGGAACAGTAAAAGGACCACGTTCATGCTGGGTTGTTTGCACTTGGCTAAAAGGGATCATCCTGGAGAATAGCCACGCGGCGCGGGGAGGGATGAAGAGATCATCCCAGAGAATATCCACGTGGCAGGAGGACGGGTGAAGGGATCATCCCAGAGAATAGCCATGTGGTGGCATGAGGGGAGGTGTGTGCTGCACATCCATCTGAAAACCGCAGCCCCTCCGGTGAAACCCAACCAGCATAGCTTGCTATGGGAAAGGATGGCACTGCAGTTTGAAACCATTCCCACATGTTATGAAGGTGGAAGAAGCCAACCCCGTGTACCAAAAGGCTTACCATGGCTGCCTGGAAACCAAATTCTGTTGCCCAGCTGTGTGTGATGTGTCACCATACTGGCAGGTGCTCAATATGAAAGGCAAAATGTGACCTTGTACCTAAAGCACATGTGCTGTGAATTGCTTGATTCACTGTGAAAGAGTCTTCCTTTTGTTCTCAGAAATGTATCATCTTAAATTTTACTCTGCCTTTTTATTTCCCCCCAGGTGCAAATGTTTCTATGCTCCCCCATCATCTCCGTCCCTGAAGTTATTGCAGATTAGAAAGCAAAAAAAATGCACTCGTGATGACATGTTTTCCGAGCTCATGCAGTCCTCCTGCACTGACAGGGCACAGCTTAATGCATGGAGGCATTCAGTGGCAGAGGCCAGGAAAGCATTAAGTGAGTGCGAAGAGCAGAGGCAGGAGGCGATGCTGAGGCTAATGGGGGAGCAAACGGACATGATGAAGCATCTGTTGGAGCTGCAGGAAAGCCAACAAGAACACAGACCCCCGCTGCCTCCATGGTATAACCGCCTGCCCTCCTACCCAAGTTCCATATCCTCCTCACCCAGACACCCAAGAACGTGGGGGGTGGGGGGAGGAGGAGGCTCTGGGCACCCAGCCACTCCACTCCAGAGGATGGCCCAAGCAACAGAAGGCTGTCATTCAAATAGTTTAGATTTGTAGCGTGGCTACAATAAGCAATGTGGCCTTGTCCTCCTGCACCCCACCCCACCCGGGCTACCTTGTCAGTTATCTCACTTTTTTTAAAAAAATTAATAAAGAAAGAATGCATGGTTTCAAAACAATAGTTACTTTATTTTCTTTGCCAGCTGTGATCGAAGCGGGGAGGGTGGTTGGCTTACAGGGAATTAAAATCAACAAAGGGGGCAGGTTTGCAGCAAGAACACACACACACACAGCTGTGACACCGTAGCCTGGCCAGTCATGAAACTGGTTTTCAAAGCCTCTCTGATGCGTAGCATGCCTAGCTGTGCTCTTCTAACTGCCCTGGTGTCTGGCTGCTCAAAATTGGCCACCAAGAGATTTGCCTCAACCTCCCGCCCCACCATAAACATCTCTCCTTTACTCTCACAGATATTATGGAGCACACAGCAAGCAGCAATAACAATGGGAATGTTGGTTTCGCTGAGGTCTAACCTGGTCAGCAAACAGCGCCAGCGAGCTTTTAAACGTCCAAAGGCACATTCTACCACCATTCTGCACTTGCTCAACCTATAGTTGAACTGCTCCTTACTACTGTCCATGCTGCCTGTGTACAGCTTCATGAGCCATGGGAGCAAGGGGTAGGCTGGGTCCTCAAGGATAACTATTGGCATTTCAACATCCCCAACGGTAATTTTCTGGTCTGAGAAGTAAGTCCCTTCTTGCAACTGCTCGAACAGCCCTGAGTTCCTAAAGATGGGAGTGTCATGCACCTTTCCCGGCCATCCCACGTTGATGTTGGTGAAAAGTCCCTTGTGATCCACCAATGCTTGCAGCACCATTGAGAAGTACCCCTTGCGGTTGACGTACTGGTTGGCAAGGTGGTCCGGTGCCATGATAGGGATGTGTGTTCTGTCTATTGCCCCACCACAGTTAGGGAACCCCACTGCAGTAAAGCCATCCAGTATGACCTGCACATTTCCCAGAGTCACTACCCTGGACAGCAGAACATCAGTGATTGCACTGGCTACTTGGATTACAGCAGTCCCCACAGTAGACTTGCCCACTCCAAATTCATTCCTGGCTGACCGGTAGCAATCAGGCTTTGCAAGCTTCCACAGGGCTATCGCCACTCGCTTCTTAACTGTCAGGGCAGCTCTCATCTTGGTATTCCTGCACTTCAGGGCAGGGGAAAGCAACTCACAAAGTTCAAGGAAAGTGGCCTTATGCATGCAAAAGTGTCGCAGCCACTGTAAATCATCCCATACCTGCAACACTATGCTGTCCCACCAGTCTGTGCTTGTTTGCCGGGCCCAGAATCGGCGTTCCACTGTATAAGCCAGCACCATGGCCACCATGACGTCCCAATTGCCACAGCCCATGCTTTCAGAAACATCTGTGTCCATGTCTTCATCACAATTGTCCTCTTAGCCCGGTTCTGCACATACTCCAGGATAATGCGCGAGGTGTTTACAATGCTCACAACTGCAGAGGTGAGCTGAGCAGGCTCCATGCTTGCCGTGGTATGGCGTCTGCATGGGTAACCCAAGAAAAAAGGCGCAAAATGATTGTCTGCTGTTGCTTTCACGGAGGGAGGGGCGACTGACGACATGTACCCAAAACCACCCTCAACAATGTTTTTGCCCCATCAGGCATTGGGAGCTTAACCCAGAATTCCAATGGGCAGCAGAGACTGCTGGAACTGTGGGATAGCTACCCAGAGTGCACCACTCCATAAGTTGATGATGGCCATAGTACTGAGGACACACTCCGCTGACTTTATGCGCTTAGTGGAGACATACACAATCGACTGTATAAAATCAATTTCTAAAAATTGACTTCTATAAAATCGACCTAATTTTGTAGTGTAAACATACCCTTAGAAAAGAAATGAAGTGGAGAGTAGAAAAGGTGGGAAGACTGAAAAGAATATAGAGGAAGGGAAGATAGGAAGACAATGTCAGAGCTGGAGCAAGACAAGGAGCTAGATATCATGAAGAATCAAAAACAAGAATAGGAATAAAGGATAACAATACTTAAAATGAACTTAAAATTTCACCAATATTACTTCAATCATAGCTAGGCTTCAGAAACTGATTTCAAGTACAAACTTTTCTTTTTTTCTGTTAAATTTATATGGAACCTGATTGTCCTCTATAAAAAAGTCTGAGGAATTCTGTGGAAGATATCAGCACAATTTGATCTACAATTTCTTAAGCTCTTCTAAGTAGATACAAGCCTGTATTCTATATAACTCTTATGTCTCCTATCAATTATTTCCTCTCTTTTTGAAGTCAAATGTGACGCTGGGCTCTATTGGTAAACATTGTACAAGGGAGTTCTTTCTTCACATTTGTCCAATCTCTGCGTATATTTAAACAAATAATTTTATTTTAACAAAGGGGGTAGTATTCTCCTTCATTTGAGCTTTAGTTCTAGCATAAAATGTCTAATAGTCTAAAGATCTATTTTGTTTT